GATTATCCAACCTGTTCATTAATTTGTATCGGATCTGTCAAGAAACACAGGCAGCAGTGGTGATATGTTCACAAATATTTTTAGTAGACATACATGTTGTACACATGTCATGCTTGCACATTTCTTGATCCATAAGGTCAGGCAAATTTTCTTTTGGCCTGTGCATAGGTTGCATAGTTCTTAGATATTTCTTTTTTTTTTAGGTCACAGTGATTGACATGAACAGGTGCTCTGCTTCAATGAAGAAGAATACATCGTAGGCACTTAGTTGAAGCATGTAATACACTTCAAGTATTATATCACGCACTGCCTAACATTAAGTTTGCGTGGTTGGCTCATTATTATTTATTCTTCTCTTTACAGTCCAGGATGTCCAGTAAATTGGTCAGCGCACACAGGACCATACATTCTGCAGATAGTGTTTGGTAAGACCATGAAGACAACACTTGTAGTAAGAAAAACTGTTCTGAGGGACAGGATAGAGCCATTTAATAATTGTACTCACCTGTATTAATAAACTAGCTTGTAGTGGTCACTCTGTTATGTTGTCCTCTTGTGACTGGATCTGGATTGGTTGTCAGTCCAAAGTAGTCTTGTCTGAATACACCTTAGTGATGTGGCATATGAGTAAAGTGTAAAAAGCAAATTCTTTCTTAGTAGTGTTAGTTTCAGATTTTAGTTATTGTGAGTTCATTGTCCAACTCCATGGAGTACCATCATTAACTTATCAGTTGTAATGAATTCATATTCACCTTTCTACATTTTAATAAACTAACTTTCTTCATTCAGTATTTATATATTTTTACATGTGTTCATAATTCAAACCTGCTTTCATTTTTTCTAAACAGTTATATTTTTTTATTTTCAGGGTTGAATTTGGCAAGCTAGCCACCCAGCACAAAGCTATCAGCCTTGGTCAGGTAACTATGGTTTTAAATTACCAACAAAATTTTATTTTCATGTTTCAGTGATATATCTCCTTAATTCTTTAATCAAGGTACACAAAAGATTTGTTAAGTGGTCTTGGTAATACCTGTCGATCTGACAGGCTGTCTGTGATCTTCATTTTCACATTTTTAACAGAGTGTGTGCATGCCTGCATGTGACTGTGTGTCATTTGCATCATCATTTACAGTAATAATGTTACAAAAGGAATATGCTGATATATATTTTTGATGAAAGTTTGTACTAGTTACAACATGAGTCCTCCACTGTATGCAACATACAAGAGCATAATTAAATTGAGCAGAGATATAATTTGCTCTTGAATGTCACATACAGTGGACGACGAAAAGTTGTAGCTGACTTATCCCACAACTGGCGCTTCAAACAATAGGATGAACATTGTGAAGCATATGAAAATACAAGCAAAGGTATAGGCAAATGAAATTCAATTATCCTATTGGCAAAGCACTTGCTTTGGGATAATGAGATTGTACTTGGTATTTACATTGTACTTACATGTTCAAATGCATATTAGCTGATATCATGATCAGCAACTAACAGGACACTGCCAACTAACACCACCCCCATACATATTCACACACACACACACACACACACACACACACACACACGAAAAGGTACATGTTTCATTAGTACAAGTTTCATTTGCTCAGTGCTGCAAATACCCTATATATGCTGTTAGTTGTACAATTGTACCATTTTTGTTTTGTGTGTGTGTGTGTGCATGTGTGTGTATGTGTGTGTGTGTGTGCAAAAAAAACTTTCCCTTCATAATTTCCTTGATCCACCTGGGCATAATGAGTGATGTGAATGGTGGTGATGATGATGATGGTCATCTTAATTAATATCAACTTATACAATACTGTTCTTACAAAATACAATCTTGTCCTTTCTTCTCCCAGGGATTTCCAGACTTCTCCCCTCCAGAGTATGTGAAACAAGCCCTCTGTGATGCCACCATGAGCAGCAATGTTCTGCTGAACCAGTACACCAGGAGCTTTGTAAGTCTTACTGGATTTAATATGCAGTGTTATGTAGGAGGGAAATCAAACAATAAGCCTCTGTGAAGGAACAAAAAAAAAAATCTTACGATCATTTAAGGTATCTTCAATGGGATTTCCATGCCAACTCTCATTTTCTTTGAGAAAAAGAAAAAAATTTCATCTACTTATGAATCATTGTTCGGCCCATGCCTGTGAATAGATTCGATGTTTTGTATTATTTCTAATTAAATAAATTCATGATTTGCTGTTACAGTGTTCCCGGAATTTCTGGAATTTCAACATCAGCTACTTTTTTGAAGGGTTTAATCCTTTGTAACATTTGAATTGGAAGAAAATTGTTTAACTCACATTTAAGCAGATTTAGCCTTGCGATAAGAGTCAACTGGCAATGGTAAAACTCACTATCAACAGCATGTTCAGAAATGGGTTTTAGCAGGCAGTTAGGACTTACTGGCATTGACAGAATTAAGAGGGGCGATAATAGATGATCAGCCTCGATAACAGTAAGTCCGGGTTTTATTCAGTATCAATCTAATTGTAGTTTGTATACTTATGCCTTCCATTTATTTTGCAATGTCTGTATATTTGCAGTTATAGTTTTCTGATATTTCAGGTTTGGTCCAGGGTGCTAAAGACATTCTGAAGCACAATGTAATCAGGTATTCTAGGATCACCCCAGACATTCCCTGGTACTTTCACAGATGTTCTTTGTAGGATGTACTATTATAGTATTGCCAGCCAAGAGTGGTCCAGACATGAAAAATGTCCTCTTGTTTCAGGGTCAACCTAGACTGATCCAAGCAATCTCTAAGGCTCCATTCAAAATGGGGGACTAACTAGTCCGAGGGTCAAATGTGACTGACCCACTTAAATACTTCCCCACGGGATATCTATTTAGTGTATTAGTGGTTTAGACAGCAAGCTTTGTAGTGGGTCGCCATATTTGGCCCTCTGACTAGTTAGTCCTCTATTCTTAATGGAGCCTAAGATGTCCCCTTGCTTCAGTGTCACCCCAGGTAATCTCTAAGATGGTCTCGTGTTTCATGGTTCTCCTAATTTGACTCAGGAAATTTTAACATACTCCTCTTCTTCCAGGGTCACCCTAGGCTGGTTCAGGCAATCTCCAAGATGTTCTCCCCACTCCACGGTCGGACCATTGACCCAATGAATGAGATAATCGTCACAGTTGGTGCCTATGGGGCTCTGTACTGTACCATCATGGGGTTGATCAACCCTGGGGATGAGGTAGGTCCTTCATCCAGGTGGGTTGGATTATTTAAGATTCAAACAGAACATGTTCTGAAATGTTCTATGTATTGATAGGGTTTTGTTTTAACCCAGGACTGAGAGAGTTCCAATATGAGTAAGATAGATCATTTGGCTTCATGAGATCAGTAGACTGATTAGACAGTTATTTATAATTATTAGGTTTGATTAAAAGACCTACTCAGTATAGGTCAACTGATGGTTGCCCATACCATCTAGAAGTATACCCTTTCATTTAATGGAGAGCAGCATCATAGAGGTGGGCTTGTGCTTGTCTGGCAACCATCTTATTTTAACACTAGAAAAGTGATGATGACAAAACTATTAAATTACCCATATTTGTCTTGTCTATGAACCCATCCCCAATGAAACTATCATTATTTGTAAATTGATCAAACTCCGCGGGGACTGTTTCTGAGTACAATCAGGTTAAAATATTAGGTTGCCTTCTCCTGGCATTGAGTAGAACACAGAAATGCTGGTGATTATTAGTGTACATTGGAAAAAGGAGGAGGTGTGTCAATAAAGTCCCTGTAGAGTTGGATCAGTCTACATAGAAAGATAGTTACATTGGAAAAAGGTACTATGTTTATGTACCTTATGTAGTGATAGTGATAGGATACCAAGGCTGGTTAAAGTTTGTAAATAATAATTTTCAGTCTTGACAACAAGTATCTGGAATTATTTTTATATTTTCTGGCATTTTTTTGGAAGAGACCTTTGATATACCAGTAGCTGGGAATAATGAGCTATTTGTAATAACCAAGGCTAAGGTAATAATGCATTAAAACCATGGCAACAGCTTATAGCATGATCTCAGGATGATTGTCATATTGATGGTATTGAACTTAATGGTAATAATGCCTCAAGATCTTCATAAACTAGATCAGCCACTAGGACCTGTGTTGTAATATCATCTACTGGGTTACATGTATCAGTGTAGTAGTTTTGATATCAATACTAAGAGAACCTGTCAATAACAGATTGAAACCTGAAAACACTGTATCTGATTGAAGTAATTCATATCTATTTTAACATAACATATTTTGCTGCAGCAGTTACTACAGTATTTAGCTTGTGATGTAGGCTCTACCGTGTTATAAAAAAGTCCTGTATACTAAATACACCACTGGTAAAGCAGATATGGGAAAGGGGAGATGTATCCCCTTCTCCATTACACATGCATGCGTGCACACACACACACACACACACACACCTAGAATAATGTTGTCAAACATGTCAAGCAAAGGTTTTTCTACACACACACCCCACCACCCAATTAATGTACCCTTTGGGCCAGCTCTTTTATTAAGTTGACAAAAACATCATTTGTTGTTATTTACCTTAAATAACCGAAATATTTGGATTTTAAAATGGTTTTTGTATGTATTAAAACTGAGAAGTGTATAATGATAATAGTGTAGTTGTGGCAGGATAATAGTAAGACTTGACAGCAGTTGATAGTTTTATTCTGATGGTACTAGTAATGTGCATGCATCTTTGCAAAAGATGATGTACTTTTCAACAAGAGTTGAGTTCTTTCAGCACTAAGTAAAATCTCAATATTGTCTTTGTGAATGTGTGGTTTTATTATATATAGTGGCATGTGGTAAGAACCTTATAATGTGATATTACCTGATGATTAGATATTTAAAACAGTATTATACAATAACATGTAAAAGTGAACTTGTAGTGATATATTACACACTGCAATCAAGGCATGAGCAGCTTCAACAAAACAAAAATCAACTAAAAGCTCTTAAAAATAGAAGAGTCCAGTTTTCAAACTGAATGTGTTGAAATTGGTAGAGTAATACACCACACCTTAAAATTGATATTCTGTGAATGACTTCCATATTCCATATTGTTTCCAACTTGAATATATATCATTTTAAATGATTACCTCCCCGAGAAATAAAAATCATATGTTGCAGATTCTTTAGTATTATTATGTATACAGGTACATATTGTATGTTTATTTCCTAATCAAGAAAAATACATCTGTCATAGAGAATAAGTAACAAGATAAGTCTGTTTCCCCTCTTTTGTCCATGACTTATTCCATCAAGATGGTTGGAACACTCGAAGTTCATTTGCTATACATAGTCTTCTCAACTTATTAGCTGTTTTGGAAGAACCTGTTTGCCCACCTGAAAAATATAAAGAAAGAAACATTGAACAAATTGTGTATAGAGAAAATGAGGACTGAAGTTCAATGCACATGTCGTGATCCCAACAATATTGAGTTATATTACTGAAATGTAGAAAAAACAGCACCACAAAAGAGTAATTGTTACTATCCATGGAGCAGTACATGAGCTGCAGGCAAGATACTAACAATGAAGAATGTTTTGGCAGATGTGCAGCTTGATAAAATGAATCAAACTCTCTTACAATTCTTGACTGTATTAAAGTGCATAAAAAACATCTTTTCTTCCTATCCATATAATGGCTGTGTGGACTGGAGTAGGGTTTTTTAATTTGTTTGGGATGAAAATAAAAGAAATAGTAATGCCAAGAAAGGGGATCAAGGTCCATACCATGGGTGTTATTATTATTACAACACAAACCTTGACATAAGACAGTTAGCACTTTGTGGAACAATAAACTTTATGTGTCCTTATTTCCTTTATCATATCATCAGCATTGGTGTTGGATTTTTTCCAGTTGACATTGAAAAAAAAATGTTTGAAAAAAGCATGCCTTTTTTGTATTAAGTGGACTTTGCATTCTCAGTCAGTCCATGGTCTATATTTTTGCATTAGGTCACCATATTAAGGAGTATTTTACCTGTCTTCTGGTGCATGACCAGGTGTGAAGCCACTGGAGGAATGTTGTGCTGTCGATCTATCTCTGTTGCAATCAACTTAAGGGGCTTAGATGTCTGATATCCCTACTGATAAAAAATTATCATTTAGCAGCTTCAGTAGGCATGCCAGATATTTAGCCACTTAAACTGAAAGCTATTTAGTGAGAAACCCTCTGAGATGAATAGATATTGTTAGTAGCAATGGGAACCCAGTCTTCCTGTCTTCCAGGCATAGTGACCTATATTGTAGCACAGTTTTAGGCAGATATGATCTCTTCATCTGTATTACAGGCCTGGAAGAACACAGTAAAAATTGCATGTTATAAAAAGTATGCTCTTCTGCATTTTAGAAAAGATTGCATTCACACATGCTATATAGTAGAACAGAGTAAGGCAGGTTTAGCATTTTACATTTTTGAGTACAGTTAGTTGAGGCAAAATGTATAAAAAGTGGAAAGTTGACACAGTATATGGAAGAAAATGATGAGCATGGTTGCTTGATAATAATTAAAACAGAAATCCAGTGACAACAATGTAACAATATGGAAGTACAACAAGATGAATCGATGTTCATTTATATTTGATATTTGGTCTCTGATGGTACTACATGTAGCATGAAAAACTATGATATGAAAAACTTGATACTCTGCCCTCTAGTTTATTACTTACTGTTCGACCTTTAGTCTGCCCATTTAACTCTTCAAGAATCTTGTGCTTTGCTTGAGAAATCCTGAATTAATAATCAAAAAATTTTACTCAGAGACACCTTGTCCAATGGTTCATGCTGGTATATAGGACTTTTGAAAAAGCTGAGGATGAAATAATTTTAGTTGGTGAGTATTCTAAATATTAGATTTGTATGCCTATGTATTGATTTGATAAGATATTTTTAATTAGATCAAAGAAAAGGCAAGCTATTCTTGGCATGAACCTAAGTCTAAAACACAACAAACACAAAGAGTATTAAGGTTTGTATAACAGTATGCTAGTACTGTTGATAATTACATGTAACTGCTTTCAAAATATAGGAAATTAAGTACTGATAATTAATGTACATGTACCTACATAAAAGACTCAATGAACAACTTTACTACTGTTGTGCTGTGTCAGACTATGGTCATAACTGGGCATCTCACTCGGTTGGGGCTTGGGCTTTCAAATTAAAATTGTAGGGCTTCCTGATACTGCAAGCCTTCAACTTAAAACTGGATGGCTGACTGAGTACACATGGTCTGTTCCAACACCGAGAACACTCCCTGGTTTCTGTCCTGTTGAAATCCATATCCACATCCAGCTGACCAGACATCTTGCTGATGTTCTTGTTTCATTAACCTCCATTAAGATGTGTCCAGGAACCTGTAACCACAATGTACTGCAGTATTAATATACAGCATTAGATGTCTTGCTTTAAATGGCTTATAATTATGGCAAATGATTAAGTATAGGTCTGAGATATGATTTAAGAATAATAAAATGATGTTGGAAAGTAAAGATGATATGAATTCTGATAGTTTGCTCTAATAAGATTTATTAATTGGGGTTGCCCCTAGTTCACATATTTTTACATTTTTTAAAAAATAATTTTTTACTCAAAGTAACATCATTAAAAGATGTGATTTTTGCCTTTAAGATATTAAATTTCTTTCATAAAACATATTAATCTCAGACTTGTATATGCTGAGAAAATAAGAAAATCTCGACTCTGGGGGGTCTAACCAGCAGTGAAATTCAAAGTCTGGTCTTTTGTCCTATTATAAGGTATATTTTGTACCACCTAGTATTGTCAGGGAGGGCGCCTATAAACACGATGCTAGGAGCTAGAAACACACCTGTGCGGAGCCGGGAACACATACACCTGTTGTCCAATTGCTGTGGTTGAAACTTGGGTTGATGCAAGGTCAGGCAATCTACCTTCGAAATAGGTCCTGGGTTCCTTTAGGGAGAGGCTGAGGATGAAATAGAAATGGTTTAATCAAGGGTCTGTGCATAAGTATTGAATTAAGTTTATGTGGAGATTTTTTGTGTTATATCTTTTGAAAACAGTGAGCATTGAATGGTGAATCAATATGTTCATTGTGGTGCATTCAATTCCTTTGAAATATGCAACATTGTGCTGACTCAGTTGCAAAGTTAACTACATAAAACATAAATGTTTAAAAAGGTAGCATGATAATTTGGGATAAGTGATTTTATTTTCTAAGCTAATTAGATGAAATCAGATAAAAACCACACAAAAATATCGCAGAATTTCAAAATTATTCATTGTCCATCTTATTATCAACAACCCCTCCCACACGCAATTTTGAATTATCAACTGTCCATCTTATTAACAACAAACCCTCCCCATCTCAACACCCCCTCCCCCTGTCAGTTAGAGGATCACTCCTCCTGGATGTTTTTGGGCGAGCTACACTAGTTTCTCAAGCTGCACTCTGCAGTGCCGCTTGCTGCATTCAAGCCTTTGACCTAGAACAACCCCTCCTTCCAGGCCACTTCTCTCATTACCAGCCTTACAGAGCCTGAACCCAGCTTACCTTTAGCCTTACCGCAGGGGCACCCCTTTCACACACAAAGCCTGCGCATTTCTTTACAAAGTCCACTGAACTAATATTGGGCATTTGAATAAACACTGAGAAATGGGGAGGAGAAGAAGATACAGGACATTGAGCTGTAGAATGAAAGTTTTAGCCGTGCCTTTATGCTCTTGCTGGCTATGGTTGATTAGATATCCTTCATTTCAGCTTGTAACAGGTTGAAACAGTGCATATGTATGTTGATTGCAAGAGCTTAAGTTTTAATAAAACTGGTCGTAGAATGTAATATTAAACTAGGCAGAACAATTGGGATAACCGTTAAAGGGACGCAGGTATTTTCATTAGGGCCTCGGCTTCTGGATGAGCACCCCTTTTCAATCTGTACAAAGCTGTGTTGATTATTCAAACACATTCTATGTCAACAGCTTGCCTTACAGTTGGTGAAAGGGGTATTTGAGGGTATTTTGTAGGGCATTGAAATTGTTCACAGGTATACCTATTATGTATTCTGATTATTATTTTGTTATTTTTGGTGTCCTGGTATTGCAGTGCTTGATTTACACATCCAGTGAATAAAATGCTTGGGGAGAAAGGAAAACAGCTTCCAGTGATCAGATTATGAAATTTATGTTCAGATATTTCACAATATTCTCTTGGATGTTTTGTTATTCCATACATACTAATTTATGTAAATCACACTGGAAAATGACTTGAAAACATTCATGACATCTTTAAATAACAAAATCCTTATCAGTTTTAAAGGGATATTTGTTACTAAACTGTATCAAGCAATAATGTACACTAAACCAGTGAAAGAAAAAGTTTGATCTGATTTATGATAAAAAAGATATTAATATATTTCTGAATGTCAGCAAGTGACTTGATTTGTGTTACAATATGATTAAGTAATATGTAAATCAGTTTTTGTAACTTTACAGTAACTGTTGTAGCTTGATCAGAAATTCAACCAGATCGTTAGTTGTACCATACTGGTACATTTTCATTCTACAGTGCGCCCTCTGCCTGTTTGTGTTACAATATGATTAAGTAATATGTAAATCAGTTTTTGTAACTTTACAGTAACTGTTGTAGCTTGATCAGAAATTCAACCAGATCGTTAGTTGTACCATACTGGTACATTTTCATTCTACAGTACGCCCTCTGCCTGACAGAACAAAATGAGAGTGTGCCAATTTCATCACCTTCATGTGCTTTCTTTTACAAATAAAATGTGATCAAACTTATTGTTTGTGATATTCCAGTTAAGACTTTTGAAATCAGGGGTTGGTTTAACAGCAATTCATTTTTATGCTATATTACTCTACATTCTTCTCCTGAAAATCTTTTCATGGTTGTAAAAGAGTTTCAACAAGATTATGCCTTCAAAATAAAGGTTTAAGAGATTAGGTATATTTGTATTTTTGTATCTGGGCAGTGTCAACTTACTGAGTGAAGCATTTTTGTACTCCAGTATGCCAATCACTTCGAACATGCTTGCACAAAAGATTAGTTTACCTGATTGCTTTACAAGCTATCTTGGCGTCCTAGGCAACACAAACATTTGCGGGTACCAGGCAAGCTTGAAATCTCTTTTCAAATCTCCTATAAAGAAAAATTTTAATTTGAAAATTTGAGATAATTTCTTTATTCTTTTTGATCTTGCATGAGGAGTTCGTACATGGTTTTACAGGTTTTTAGATTTGTAAGATTCAGAAGTTGAATAGTTTTTAGTTTTTATCTGTTCCATGTTTATTGATATATTTACATATAATTCTGTTGTCCCCAAAAAGATTTCAGTCTATGTACACATGTTGTGTAGAAAAGGCCATTCTGATTTTTGTTCAATTTAAGTGAGAGAACTCTAGGCAATAAAAATTTGTTGTCTTGAAGTAATAGCTAAGGAACTTAAAATGTGATCTCAGAAAATATCGTACACTTCTTATGAATTTTTTTTGCTATAAATCTGTCTGACATTGAAAAGGGCAAATGGATTTTTTTCATAAAGAATAACATAAGGTGTACCATCTTATTTACTCCTCCTTACAGTTCTGTTTAATTTAAATTTTGTGGTCTATGATTCCTTTCACAGAAATTTTTCAAAAAGATTTGATCTTCAGCATGATTATAACTTTAAACGTTAAAAGCATATAACTTGCTGATTTTAAAAAATATTTTGCTGCTGGTTTCTTATATCATTACACTGTTTAACAGTGCTAAATGTACTACAGTTGTAGCCGTATCACACAGAAATTCTTAAAATATTCCTCAGATAAAGTGTTGACAGCCGGATTTATGGCCATCCATGTTTTGCCTTGTGTTTTATGTGCAAGGGTGCTTTTGCTGATCAATATCTGTCCTCACTCTCCTATAACCTACATATTAATATCTACAGTTGGAATGAAATACACCCACTCTTGGCTCAATAAGTGGAGTTATTTCTGTGTCATGTTTGCTAAAAGGATATGAATATAGTCAGACCTGTATCGGTCTGTTCAATATCTGTAACCTATATTTCTTGAAGTACCCCAGTTGTTAACACGTGCAAGTATTAAAGAAAATTGTACTGATTCACAGCAGAGATTGAGAGCTTTGCATTGAACTTACCTGTGTAATAAAGGTACTGTAGTAGCCCATATATATCTTCTTGGTATGATGTTCCCTCTGGCAACTGTTATTAAAGTGAAAAAAATCACAATGTGGTGTCTATGCACTGGTATGTGGGATATATCAGTAATTATCATAATCCTAAGCCTTATTTGGATAGATCAGCAAATTAGATAACGTCCATGTGTGAGTGAGGGGATAAAGTGGGGGTGGACGGATGGGACATGACTACCTTTCTCATTTATTTCCAGGTGATCATTATTGAGCCATTCTTTGACTGTTATGAGCCTATGGTAAGGCTTGCAGAGGGGGTACCAGTGTTTATACCACTTAGAGCAGAGGTAAGAATGGCTGCATGGTGATTATTTCCACAGCAAACACAACCAGGGCACTATTTATGGTGGTGCTTGGATTGCTGATTGTGTTTCGTCTCACCTGTCACAATTCCAGCAAAATGATGCCATATTAAAAAAAGAATATAATTAAGAATTAATCTGCCTGTCATCATGATACTTACTGAAACATATTTACAAAGAAAGTTTAAGTAATTTACAGTGTTTGCCAAGAATTGGACTTCATTTCATCAATATGCATGTGTAGAAAACAAACTTAAAGCTTTATTCCTTGTGATTCATAGATCATTTCTTAAAAAAACATTGTAACTCCCAAGTGAATATGATGACTTTTTACTCCTTCTTCAAACTTTTTATGTAATTTTTTTAAATTAATAAGTAGCTGATAGATTTAAATGTTTATGGATTTTCCAGAAGGCAAAGTCAGTGTCATCCAGTGCAGATTGGAAACTAGACCCAGAAGAACTGGCCAGCAAGTTTAATACTAAAACTAAAGCAATAATTATCAATACTCCACATAACCCAACTGGCAAAGTAAGTTGAAAGCTTGTTATTGTACATTTAATTTAGTTTGTGTGTTTCTGCAGCTGAGGGTTCATTAAGTTAAAATTGAAAATTAAGTCAGTTTAAAAGACTACAGTGCATTAGGACAGTAAGTGTAAGATTTTTTTTATAATAGGCTACATCTGTTTCTTTTTAGGTGAAATGCTGTATGTCTTGTATACTTGAATGTAGCAGTCAAGATATTATAGATTATTACTCTTACAAAGATGTTTACTCTAACCATGATTTTCAGGGGCGGATTTAGGCCTTCTTCAGGGTCTTCCAGAAGACGGTCAGATTTTCAAGTTTACATTGACAGGGTTTTTTTTCTGTTGGAAAATGGTCAAAATTAGAGGATGGATCAACAAAGATAATTTGGAAGACTGTCAGAAAATAGCTCTGGATCCGCCCCTGACTTTGTCTCGGTTATAATTATAATGACATCAGTAAGTAAACCTCTGCATGCCATACTGCACTGCAGTGTTATTGTCGCAGCTCTGATCTATCCTTGGTGTAGGTTTTTTCCAGGGCAGAGTTGGAGGTGATAGCAGACCTGTGTAAACAGCATGATGTGATGGTGATATCGGATGAAGTGTATGAGTGGATTACTTTCCAAGGGGAGGAACATGTGAGAATAGGTAGGAACCAGCATTGCTCTCTCTCTCTCTCTCTCTCTCTCTCTCTCTCTCTCTCTATATATATATATATATATATATATATATATAAAGACAAGAAAATGAACAAAGTTAATCTGTTATCTCCATGTTAATTAATATAAGGTCCTACAGCCATACAAACAATTTGCAGAAGATATATTTAAAAAAAATTTACAATCATTTGTCAGTCAAGTAAGCGGTCAGACTAGAAGTCTTCTTCTCCCTAAAAGAGTTCAATCGTTGAGCTTATGGAGTCAGTAATTTTTTTAAAGAAATTGAAAAAAGTGTCCAAGAGGAGAAGCATGTGAATTATTTTGATTTGTATAAATAATTCTCTTTTCTAGCCACCCTACCAGACATGTGGGAGCGTACCATCAGTATCAGCAGTGCTGGGAAGACGTTCAGTGTGACTGGCTGGAAGCTGGGCTGGTGTATAGGACCTCCACACCTGATAGAGGGCGCTCAGAGGATTCACCAGAACTGTAACTACACCTGCCCTACTCCACTACAGGTATGTGGGACATCAGATATATGGAAATAAAATCTTTATCACTGCATTTATATTTCCCTATAACAAGTGAGAATGCTGAAAAACAGCATCAATAATAATAAAAGCTATTAAAACTAATAATACCTCTTGAACCAAAGTCTTGGACCAAAATGACCATCTATCTATCTAGAGACATATCTGTGAATATCTGTAAAAAATCTATCAGTCGCCCTGGTAGAGGGTAAATATCTCCCATGGTATGAAGTTGTCTGAGTTTATACACTTTATCATCACTGTATTTAGGAAGCAGTGGCTGTTGGCATGGAAACAGAAGTTCACAGACTCGGTCAGACAGACAGCTACTTCAGACAACTTAGTGATGACTTGGAAAGAAAGCGCGACATTCTTGCCAAGGATCTTCAGGAGGTCGGGTTCGTTCCTGTCATTCCCCAAGGAGGGTACTTCATGATGGCTGACTTTTCGCATTTAAGTCAGTATTTTAGTAGCATTTTATATGGATACTTATACTTTTAAATTGTTAATGGCAGAGGCAAAGATATAGATATAGTGATGTAGTCACTTAAGTTGGAAAAAACATTATGAAACAGCTACGCATTGCTCTTAACAAGCCAGATGATGCTATTGAAATAAGAGCAAAACATTGCATTGTTGTAACAGTTTCTTAAAAGGTTTTTTCCAAAGTAAGCGATTATCATCACTAAAGCTTTACTAAATGATCTTTGAACCATGAACAATCTAATAGAAAGTGCATTCCATTGTTTTACAATACATTTCTTATCTTTCAATCATATTTTTATGAAATGCAATATGAATATAATCAAGAGATTTTTTTAAAAAAATTCTAGATGTCAGTTTTGATGACAGTGACAGTTCTGACACTACAGAGGATGTCAAGTTCTGTAAATGGATGACTGTCAATAAGGTGAATTATAAACAAACTGCATGTGTGGATATATGCGTACACAAACACATACACTGACTTTTATACTTGTAAATATGTACTTATTTCTACAAAAATAATATAAAATGAATTTATGATATAAGTTTAGTGTGACCACTAGCTGCAAAAAAAAAAAAAAAAAAGAAAAACAATAATCTGACTTAATTTCATTCTGAAAATAAGAGAATTTTGTAATCATAAAGGTGAAGTTATCACAACTAAAAATTATTAAATTTATAATAAACATCAAACATCAAAAATTAAAAATCATTACTTAAACTTTTTAGAAGCTGTCTGCTATCCCACCAAGTGTTTTCTACCACAAAGGTCACAAACATTTAGGAGCCAAATACCTACGCTTCTGTTTTATCAAAGTAAGTAAAGATTGAGAAATATCAATTTTTAACAAAAAGCCCTGTGGTCATTAAGTCCATTTTTAGGTCAACTGATTGTTCCTGTGTATCAAGTGTGTAATATTACCCAAGTTGCCATTTTTGCATGTTGATAAAGTTTTACCCTATGTATGTTTAAACCAGCCATATTCCACTGGGCTTTCAATAATAGCAGTGTAGACTGAAGTAATTTACAACAGTTCTTTGAATTCTCTCAGTAGAAAAGTGTGCTTCAGATTACTAAAATATTTATTTGGCCAACTTTTGTTGGATTTATACTAAGAATTTCGATAATGATTTGACTTTTTTCTATTTGAAGGAGGACAGCACACTGGAAAAAGCAGCAGGCATATTGAAAGAATGGAAGAAATCCTTATAAGGAGAAGATTAAGGAGGACAAATAAAACAGATTAAAGCAATAATAACTCTTCGTTTCGGCCAAAAAATGAATTTTCCTGGAGTAAACAACAATTTTCCCATACTTACCAATGGTTAATGAATCCATTTTTACATTCAAAGTTAGTCCCTGGTTTTTTTCTAAAAAGTTTGGTTTTTTGTTAAAATCTCTTAAGAGATTTTAACAGAGTATAGACATCAATGGAGGTCACGTGGTCTAAAGACAAGTTCAGATATCAGAATAAAAGCTATAACTGCTGTTTTTGTGGTAAAACAGAATATATTATATTTCTATGAGTTATTCACAAGGTNTGTAGAACTTGTCAAGGGCAGCACTGGGGGTGGTGTCCATTTTTTTTGTTTTTGATACGGCTTAGGCATTGCACTAATCAAAAAGTTCAACATCCAAAATTCAGTGGTGAAAATAAAATGTGAATTACTCAAAAATTAGCAGAGATAAGCCCTTAGTTACTATTGAACTTGAATAGGAAGTCATATACTGATAATCTAACTGTGACCTTGAAATTGACCTTTGACCTACTTTTCACCATGAACTGAACTTTGCAAAAATTATCTCCCTTATATCTCGAAAACTGGCAGAGATACACCCATAGTTACTATTGAACCTGAACAGGAAGTCATATACTGGCAATCTAACTGTGACCTTGAAATTAACCTTTGACCTACTTTTTATGATGAACTATACTTTGCATGTTTTCTGGCCTCTTTATCTCCAAAATTAGCAAGGAGATACCCATAGTTACTATTTAACTTGAATAGGAAATCATATACCATGAACTGACCTTTGCATATTTTCTTGCCCCTCATATCTTCAAAACTAGCAGAGATATGCTCAGTGTTGCCCTTACGTTTTCTCTTTTGTCAGCATATATGCAACACTGATAACACATTTCAAGGAAAACCAATAGGCCTATTGTCTAGAAAATCACAGGAGTGATCAATGTTAGGAAAATACAGGCCAATTGGAAAATCCGCTTGATTGGACCATTTTTATGTTATGTTTTTTCTTTCTTTTTTTTTTTTTTTCATATTTTGAAAATTCTTTTTTATTGCATAGAGCTTGTCAAGGACAAGACTGGTTGTGGTGTCCCTTTTTTTTGGGGGGGGGGGTGGTTCCATTCGAATGCGCTTACTCCAGCTGGTGGTACAATATCCGGAGGCGGTATCGCCTCTCTGATCCTCTAGTTTACAACAGTACTTTGAATTCTCTCAGTAGAAAAGTGTGCTCCAGACAAATTACTAAAATATTTATTTGGTCAACTTTTGTTGGATTTATACTAAGAATTTCAATAATGATTTGACTTTATTTCTATTTGAAGGAGGACAGCACACTGGAAAAAGCAGCAGGCATATTGAAAGAATGGAAGAAATCCTTATAAGGGGAAGATTAAGGCTGACAAATAAAACAGATTAATAGAACATTAAAATATACGAATACAAAAACTGTTTAATTGAAAAGAGTAAGGATTTTAGGGCATACAGTGTAATATATAATAAACTATTTTATATCAGATCAGTACATTGTACATAATTTAAAAGAAGAGTTCATTACAAATGAAGTGTTTATGAGAGCAATAAATAGCTTTCTACAAATATTAATGTATAAAATACAATGAATAGTATTCTACAAATATAAATATATAAAATACACTTACAGTAACTGCGCCAAAGAGTTGTGGCATGGGGGCAAAATGTTTCTCTTCTTCCTATTTTTTAAAGATGCCTTAAAATTGTTTTCTGTGGATCTGGATGAACATTTCAGTGTCATGTAGCCCCCCCCCCCCCTTCCACATATTCACCCTTATTCAGTGAAACCTGCAGTACTAGTTTTATGCAAGAACATTAAAACCTATTTTCTGTTTAAGCAGTTCAATATCTTTAAAACCGGTGCAAAATGACAGTCGTGCCATTTTTCTGCTGATATCTCCTTTGATGAGAGATTGACGTGAGAGACCTTTATTAATGTAAATCATTGTTTTGTGATTGTAATAACTGTGATTGGAAAAAAAAAATCCGTCATGTGAATCGTATCAACTGATGCAAAATAAAAAAAAAAATTAAAATTCCACACAAAAAATATGGAATTTTGTCTGTTCTTATTTCTGCTTTGACAGTTTACATATACAAGACGAAGATTACAAGTAAAAAATTACTATATAATTTTATTGATTATTTTAAATTTTGCTGCGCACGTGGGACCTTTCTAGTTTCTTCTCTCTATATCCAAAGTTTTGTGTAAATTATTTCCTTGGCATCAGTTCTTCCTTGTAAAAGTTGTATGGGCAGGCAGTCACGCAGTAAAAAAAAGAAAGGCGAGGCTTGATTTGAATAAAATCAGATCCGCCTCAGTTGTGTGATTACCCACCCAAATTATCTCTTCTGCTGCTATGCCTGTTTGTTTTGGGGCGGGTAGTTACATAAAGGTAGACAGCTTTATCTATCCAATACCACAGAAAATTATCAGAAAATTCACTAGTTGCCGACCCCTTTAACTCTGCTCTAAGATATCCCCACGATTATAAGCGATCAGGCACCGTAATGGCTAGGTTATCTGGCTGAACGCCCCATTTTCCCTTACAACATGGCTTCAGCAACAGGTAATAACTGAGCGTCGCTGATCTGACAGGGTCATCATTTTATTACTGACATTGCTCCTCCCCCACATCGTTAAGATAAGTAAGATATGAACAAAAACAATGCTTAGATACATGCTTTCATGTTAATTTTCATACGCTGGAAAATGGTGATTTAATTTATGCAGGTCTATAACCGATTTCAAGTACGACACTCTTGAGCTCCTTATTACGCTAGGTGTAACAGAGCCTGTACATACCCGCATCGGAGCAATATTATATATGACATGAGTTCCCCGCATTGATACACTCCCGAATCGGTACCCCCCCCCCCCTCAATGGTTTAAAAGGGAATATTTTTACAAACTTACTTTCGGGTCGGGTTTTTAGAAATCTTAGGGCCAGGTTTCAAAGCTGAGAAAAATGTTTTCGTCTTTTTACCTGTGGGCGTCCCGATACGGAGTAGTAGCGGCGAGGGGACGTTAAGTGATCCGTTCAGGGCAATATACGGATATTAAGTCCCATATGTGTGAGGGGCCTTCTTAAAAATCTTCATGCTCTCATCAAGCATATACTTCTATAGTTAAACAGGATAATATATTTATAAATCTTTTTACTTTTGTGACTCGTTAAAGAACTGTTCAGTAATTAACGAAAATGTAGTAGTATTTGCCTTTAAATAAATTCTGTGAAACTGCTCGTGAAAAAAAAGAAGTCGCTAAAGATTGAACATTAAAAACCAAGTTATATGGTATGTATAAGTCAAATTCTTACTACAAGTAAGTGAGAGATATTTATTTTTTACATAACGCGTGCACTTAGTGTAGTATGTACTAAAGTAAATGTATCTGTTTGTCAGATATATTTATCTAATAATGAGAAATCTCTCTATGTACATGTAATATTGACAGTCTGTCTGTCCATATACCTATCGACTTATCTATTTATCCATTAATCCTTTTATTCATATGTATTCACAGGGCACGTTGACTACTCTGAGACCCATTGTTGAAAGGAAGAGTTCGGTCGTTAGAAGTTTCTGTTCTCAGAATAAACACCCCGTCACCACTCGGTAAGAAAGCAGTAGTAAGTTAATGGTAATGTTAACAACTATGGTAATGTAACCCATTATGCACAATAGCAATAATAATAGTCATTTGCCATGTTGTCTTTTATAACTTAAGCAAAATATAACAGATTGATTGGCTATTTTTTCTATTTTTTTCTGGCAAAGTACCGGTAAATTGTTTGTGAAATGTTTACAATTGGTTCATATTGACATCTTAGTATTTATTCCGTCTCATGTCAAAAGGTCACGTCCATCTCGTGACAGTTTATACTAGTAGGTAGCATGGTTCTTAGATAATTCTTTTTCCAGATCACATTTTCAAGATATATTACACATTCTAGCCACTCACTTGTTGCATGTAACATTGTGGACTTTTCTGTTAAGTTTGTGTTTTATTATTTGTTCTTCTCTTTGCAGTCTAGGATGTCCAGTAAATTGGTCAGCGCACACAGGACAGAATTACATTCAGCGAACAATGTTTGGTAAGACCACATCATCGGGGCAATACATACAGTATTAAAAGCTGTTCTCAGGCATACGATACAAAGCCACTTTTCTCACCTGCACCATCAGAAAGAGCTTGAAGAGATTTCTGTTATCTTGTCATTAAGCAACGAGAACTGAATTGGTTGTCGGTCCAAAATAGTCCTGTCTGAATACACCTTAGCGAATAACGCCATATGAGTTTTTACAGTGAAACTGTTTTCCATCTTTACAGGGGATAAATTTCATCCCATTTTCCAATGAATTTACTTTCGGATTTACGGAATTTTTATATTGTGATAATTTTCAGGGCTGAATTTGGCAAGCTAGCAGCCGAGCACGAGGCTATCAACCTTGGTCTGGTAACTATGTCTTATAAAAAAATCAGTCTTATACTTCGCTGAGATAATAGATGTCCTGAAATCTTTAGTTGCGGTACACATATATGCACTCTGTAACATTTGTAACATCGACATAAATTTAAGCAGAAGCGTTGACGGGATCGTACAGCGTGTACATGTACATGATGTAAATTACAGTATTACATGTATATCCACCACCGGATGCGAGATGAGTGATGCGGCTGATGGTTATTATGCATATTATGAAGATGATTACTATTTCAATATATCCAGGCATAGATCTACATGATTACTATTCGCTGAACATAAACTTGTCCTTTCTCCCAGGGATTTCCAGACTTCTCCCCTCCAGAATATGTGAAACAAGCCCTCTGTGATGCCACCATGAGCAGCAATGTTCTGCTGAACCAGTACACCAGGAGCTTTGTAAGTCTTATTGCATTTTACTTACAGTGTTACATTGGAAGGAATTATATACCAATAAACATGTATATCTGGTATGTTGTGTTATGTTATAGTAGGGTAGCTATATGCCTTAATAAAAGAAAGGAAAACCCCTTAATTTCTTATAACCACGCAAAGAATCCTTTAGGAGATTTTTGCACCATGCTTAATTTCCTTGAGAAACACCTGCAGTATTTCTGGCATTTCATGTAATTCAATTATTTTACACTGTTTATCTGTATATTTCTCTATGCATGGCCATGGATCTATGCACAGCACTACGGACGTTAGTGCGCAATTTTAAAAGAAAAAGCACACTTTTACAACCCCACAAACCTTTCCACCTGCGGTATTTAGGTTTAGAAGTTATAGATCGGCTCACTTGTCTTTTGAAAAGTTTAAAACATGATTTTGTTTATCTGTTGCTTCTGGATTAGGTCTGTACATATCAGAAATACCATAATACACATGTACAGTATTCTGGGGTCAATCCAGGTTTCCTGGAACTTTCAAATAGCTTAAAATATTTTGAATAGGATGTTCTTTTAAATCAGGGTCATCAGGTGACGTCATGTTTCAGAGTTTTGCAAGACTGGTTCAGGCAATCTTTAAGATGTCCTCTTCTTCCAGGGTCACCCTAGACTTGTTCAGGCAATCTCCAAGATGTTCTCCCCACTCCATGGTCGGACCATTGACCCAATGAATGAGATAATCGTCACAGTTGGTGCCTATGGGGCTCTGTACTGTACCATCATGGGGTTGATCAACCCTGGGGATGAGGTAGGTCCTACTTCCAGGTGGGTTCACTTGCAATGAAAAAAGAACAGGTTCTCTGGTTGTTCTGTTTGTTTACAGGATCCTTTTTTAAAACCAAGATCTGAAGTGTCTAACATGCTTGATTTGGCTCCATAAAATGACAAGATAGGTTGGTTATGCGGTGTTAAGAGATTTGAGCTGTGATTGGTTCCCAGTGAAACATTGACGTCTGGTCATGTCAAATGATGCAGTCAATTGTATCAAAAGAGATTTACAGCCTTAGCTCTGGCAACAGTTAAAAGGGAAAACAATACAGCATGATCAGTGTGCACAAGTATGGGTTAAAATAGTGATTATTATAATCCTATATAATTATTTGGAAAGGTCAGCAAATATTAGATAACGTAATTAGATAAGTGTAAGTGAATTAAGGGTCCGAGGGTTAAAGGTGAGACGTTACATTTCTCATTTATTTCCAGGTGGTCATTATTGAGCCGTTTTTTAACTGTTATGAGCCTATGGTAAGGCTTGCAGAGGGGGTACCAGTGTTTATACCACTTAGAGCAGAGGTAAGAATGGCAGGTGGTTATTTCCACAGCAAACACAACCAGGTCGCTATTTATGGTGGTGCTTGGATTGCTGATTGTGTTTTGTTGCACCTGTCACATTTAGAGCGAAATGCTCCCAGATCAAGAAAAGTATACAGCTTGCAAAAATAAAAGCTTTATTCAGCGCAATTCATAGATTAATTTTTTTTAAAAAAACCTTGTAACATTATAATGTGAATGATGGCATTTAACACCCCCTTCAAATATTTTGCCAATTTACAGCAATTACTTAATTTAAAAATGTTATATTATTAACTGTGATTTAAGTGTTTGTGGATTTTCCAGAAAGCAACATTGGTGTCATCCAGTGCAGATTGGAAACTAGACCCAGAAGAACTGGCCAGCAAGTTTAATATTAAAACTAAAGCAATCATTATCAATACTCCACATAACCCAACTGGCAAAGTAGGTTGAAAGGTTTTAATAGTACATTTAATGTAGGGCATATGTATTTTTTATTAGTTTCAATGGACCATTTAAACCCGGTCATTTCTCTTGTATTTTTCTGTCTCTGCTGGAACTGGAAATGACAGGTGTTTTCCAATGTCCTCTGAAATTCAGGGTTTGTTTAATTGTTGAAACAAAAAAAGGGCGATTGAAGTGCTAGGATCTATGTGTGTTTTATATTGGTCTAAACCCCTTTTCAATTTTTATACTGTGTCTTTTCTATGTGAATCCGCTCTTTGTGTAACAACCAAGTTTTCATACAACGTGTATTATTTTATTACTGTAAGAGGGTTGCTGTAAACATGGTAATTATGTTATTTATTGTACGAATGATGTCAATGGGCACATGTAAACATCTACATATCATCCACGGCTCTGATCTATCCTTGGTGTAGGTTTTTTCCAGGGCAGAGTTGGAGGTTATAGCAGACCTGTGTAAACAGCATGATGTGATGGTGATATCAGATGAAGTGTATGAGTGGATTACTTTCCAAGGGGAGGAACATGTGAGAATAGGTAGGAAAACTCCAGCATGTGCTCTACTTCCTCCTACGACTGATTATTCACTGCCTATATTTAGACACTTTTTTTTCAGAAAAAGTATTTTGAAAAGGATCTGAATATTTACAAATATGTAGGATGATTTTCGCACATTCTATATTGATATTTTTATACAAACGCTGCCTGTACATTTAACTTTCCCCTGCGTATACTGTCGCCCGACATCTTTATCACTGTTCACTTTTCATTGTAAACACAATAAATGGATAACCATGTGGCTTGTATTCCTAAAACTCAATTTTTAGGACTGAGATACATATACAGGTACACCTTGTTCAAGCCTGCTTAGCATTTTCGTTTTGAAGTTTTTTATTTATTTATTCAATTACGGCTTTTTAAATTTTTTTCAACACTGGCGTTTTCGGTGGGTGACTTTTAACTTCTATGGGTCTGAAGCCTACTGCTTCATGTAGATACATTTTGTAAATATACATAAAATTGGTGGTGATAATGATGTAAAGCATTATGTTATATTGGATCAAAATGAATAAAAACCCTATTTAGTCCACTGACATTTTAGTTTATGATTTATGTCTGTACATTTGATAGCTTTTCTGGCTCGTTTAGTTTGCTGTTATAAAAATGATTTAAATCTCTCAGATGCCATGTCATTTAAAAAGGAATTAAGTTCTTGCCACTCCTCCAAACCACTTTGTGGAATTGCATGTAGTGACTTTATAATTTTACCATCCAACCGGTAATTAAAATAAGAACTTAAATGTTTAATTACTAGTTATTAATATTATTATTGAATTATTTCAACTTGTAAAAAAATATCCCCTCTTTTCTAGCCACCCTACCAGACATGTGGGAGCGTACCATCAGTATCAGCAGTGCTGGGAAGACATTCAGTGTGACAGGCTGGAAGCTGGGCTGGTGTATAGGACCTCCACACCTGATAGAGGGCGCTCAGAGGATTCACCAGAACTGTAACTACACCTGCCCTACTCTACTACAGGTATGTGGGACATCAGATATATAGGTGTATGTTTTAAATTAAAGGTGTATTGTTTCATGAGTATATATTGTAAAGTTACCTGCCAACAAAGGCATGGAAAAACAGTTAGTCTGACTGTTGCTATTTAAATGCAGGTACCCAGTAACTGCATTTTTATCATAATTAGGAAGCAGTGGCTGTTGGCATGGAAACAGAAGTAAACAGACTTGATCAGACAGACAGCTACTTCAAACAACTTAGTGATGACTTGGAAAGAAAGCGTGACATTCTTGCCAAGGATCTTCAGGAGGTCGGGTTCGTTCCTGTCATTCCCCAAGGAGCGTACTTCATGATGGCCGACTTTTCGCATTTAAGTTGGTATTTTTTAGAAACATGAATTTAAATTAATTTAATTTTGAATAATAAAAGGCAAATATATCTATTAGGAAAACAAGGAATAGCATATATTCCATATCATAAGGGACTGTATCATTTCAGAGATGAAAATCACTTACTTTGGACCGAAAGATTTAAGATACTACTATATTTTGCTTTTATCTAAAGAGGTCATTGTGAAGTATATAGCAGGCAAAGTTTCTTGAAAGTTGTTCCAGAGTATATGATAAGCATCTCAAAAGCTTTACGAAAAGATCTTGAAGCCAAGAACAATCCAACAGAAAATGTTGTCTTTGTTTTACAATAAATCTTTATTTTCTGATCACTTTACTTATGTAATACAACATAAACATACAGTATTATATTCAGTTTGTATAATTACAAATTCATAAAATAACAGCTTATTCAGAATAAATTAAAATGTTTTGTTGCATGGTAAAATTTTCAATTGGCCAAAGCAGAAAGTTTGTTTACTCCCACGTAGAAAGGTGCCTCTATCTTTTAATTTACAAGAACCTAGACAAATAATCTAAAATATGTTAATATAAAAAGTCTGGATTATACATTTTTTACATATATTATAGATGTCAGTTTTGATGACAGTAACAGTCCTGACACTACAGAGGATGTCAAGTTCTGCAAATGGATGACTGTCAATAAGGTGAATTATAAACAAACTGCATGTGTGGATATACATGTATGCATACATAAACGAATACACTGACTTGTGTGCTTCTCACCTATGTGCATGAAAATAAGATAATATAATGATATAAGTGCGATCACAATCTGTAAAAATATTTGATCAATTTATTATTCTTACTATCATATTCCTATGTAAATAAGATACTTATTTACCATATGTAAATAAGATAATGTTTTGGTCACAGTTATGAAAGTGAAGATCACCCTCGATATAATGACAATGCATTTAATACCAGGAAGAAATTATAACGTTTATTGTTAATCTAAATTAAATACCTGTCATTCGAACATTTCAGAAGCTGTCTGCTATCCCACCAAGTGTTTTCTACCACAAAGGTAACAAACATTTAGGAGCCAAATATCTACGCTTCTGCTTTATCAAGGTAAGTAAAGATTGAGAAATATAAGGGCGATACATCCTTTTTTTTCATTGACCTGTGGTTATTTTTTCCATATAACAGTCTTAGCAGTCAATCCATTGGTCTTCTGTATCAATGGAATATTACCGCAGTTGTCCTTGTTACATGTGAATAAACAATTGTTACTCAATATATACGCTTTTGAAAAGAGTTTGACATCTGCTTTTAGCTAATATTCTCTTTTGGGCCTTCAGTACTAACATTATTCTGAGGTATAACATCAGATGACAATAAAATATTATATTGACAATGTTTATATACATATAGATATGGGTAAGGCTTAACAGATATGGGATCGGCCTTCCAAGTAATCATATTTGATTGTTAATTGTAAAATTATCATACAATGAACGTCTAACCATTTTCCACACAACTAAAATTATGTCTAAAGCTGAATAATCTTATAGCAGTGTGGGAATTCTTCAAAAAGTACTTTGAATTCTCTAAGTAGAAACACAGCTTTAAACGAATCATTAATTGATTAAAATGGATTAATTTGCGTAAATGGTATTGAACTGATAACAAGAATTTCAACTATGACTAACTCTATTTCTGTTTGAAGGAGGATAGCACACTGGAAAGAGCAGCAGACATATTGAAAGAATGGAAGAAATCCTTATAACGGGAAGAAATGGGTGACAGATAAAAAATAGATATAATATCTAAATGAATACAAATATTTAATTTTAATATTAAAGCAAATCATTAAGCACGCAGTGTTAGATATATTTCATATCTGATTAGTATATCAAACACAACTGGTTTTTACAACGCGTCTTTGAATGGGAATACGAACTAGCTAATAAAAATCTAATTCCGCAGAATGACGTTTATGTTATAATAAGGGAATGAAAGTGAAAGTTACGAAGGCATAATCACAGATACGTCACACTCCCTGATTGCCAGCGGGTTGAGTTATGCTGCCATAAGAAAAAGAGACGCGGCTGTGCACTTGGGACCTTCTAGCTCCCTTTATATTTATCCAAGTTTTTGTGCAAATGAATTCTTTGGTTTCAACCCACATTGCTTTTAATTCTTCCCTGTACGGGCGGGCACTCAAGCAGTAAAGAAAGAAATTCGAGGCATGATTCATGTAAAATAATAGTATGAAAACTGAGTAAATCATAGAAAACTTTGCTCTCTCATAGTCGGTAGTAGTTCCATATATTTTGATAATATCAGCTTGGATCATGTTAAATCCCGTTGTCATGATCCAATACGCCACCGTGACGGAGATGAGCATTCTGGTAACACTCCTCTGTTCTTCGACTTGTCGGTCTCTACTATGTAACCAGTTGTTTGGGAATGGTATTTTGGGCTTCGGTACTTGCGATTCATTCCTCTCGTTATCTTTCCAGACGGCACAAACTAGCCAGATGTTAATGATTGGCAAGCCGACAAAAGGGATGATCCAATATATCACTAGAGCCACCCATTTGTATGTGGAATAGTAATTCCCTACATCGCCTGAAAAGCAAATTGCACTGTACACATTTTGTCAAGCCTATCATTATCCTAAAAATATTAAGAATTCCTCTAAATAATAGTGCATCAATTTAAGTGCAACAACGAATCTGAGTTATATACTGACTAATGTTGTACGCTGCATGAATATTTCACTGCAGCAAGCTTACCTGCATCCTTACTGTGTAATGTCAGGAGATCTGGGGAATCGTGGTAGATATTCCAGCATATCTGCCGCCCACACTCGTAGAAATAAATATCAAATAAAGGGATAGGGATGTTCAAAATGAGGAGGAAAACCACGATCGCAACGATGTAAATCCGAGTCTTCTTAATTGAAAAAATCACCTCGTGTTTTGGTGTGTTAATATGTCTGAGGAGTCTCTCCCCACTCATCAACATTATCATACACGCACTCATTTCAGGCGCGAAATACACCGTGAATACAGTCAGCCCACAGAGCCCTTTACTGGCTGTCATCGCTGGATAAAGGAGCTCGTACTCGACCCAGTAGGAGAAGCCGTCGATTAAGGTACAGCAGTCAGCTACAGCCAATGCTATCATGATATTACAGGTGGTCACTCTACGTAATTCCCGCCTCAGCAAGACACAAACACAAAGCACGTTGAAGAACAAACCCACAAAGTAAATTATCGGCCGCCCTATAAGACGCATATAGTCTGCAGCCGCGACCAAGGTGTTGTTGGGGAGATAGTCGATGCGGAGCCTGGCGGTCGTGACGGCCTGGTTGAACAGAATTTCTTCGCACTTGTTGGCGTGAGAGCCGTTTCCTGTGGGATACCACCAAGAATAACCCATTGCGTACTCTGAGTCACCGACGTCCTCCATATAAATGGACATTTCTCCTTCTGAGTCCTGGAAAGCATTGGCGGCGAGCGCCCAAGACAGCATCTGTTTAATTATAATTGTCACAAGCACTCTATTCATTGTTGATGAATCATTGGTTTCACAGCTGGAAACAATGGTTCGGGTTTAAAAATAAATATAATAAAAGTATACTGATACACCTGTAGTAATGCTCGTGACAAAAATGATAAATACAATAGCACTGATAAGAATATAACATATATTGATAATGTGATAAAAATAATAATATGTAGAGCCGGCGCAGTGATTCATGTTCTTTTAATGATCACTGAATGGTTATATATTAATCATTGATCTGAAATGTAGGCATTACTGATGGAAATCAAGTGTTGAATTTAGAACAACACTAACAGTAACGTGAAATTCCTTATGGCATATTCCATAACTACTCAAGTGACCTTACAAATTGATGAAATACTTCGAATTTTCAACCCAGAAAGACGTCTATATGCACCATAAAATATTAGCCGATAGAGAGTCCATCATAAATGATATGTATTGTTTTAACACTGATATACCCGACCAATCATTTAATCTTTTTTTCAATCGGTGCTTGCTTCATATTTATCAGACATAATTGGTATTTATGAGGGTGCAATGAAAATGTTGTTATTGACGAGGTCAGGCATATATATATATATATATATATATATATATATATATATATATATATATATATATATTGATAGCCTGATGCTGTCACTGCGATTGTTGATCAACAACGCATGCCGGCGCGCGCGGGAGTGGGGATTTTTTCGGGGTACTTCTCTAAATGTCAGCCTTTTCCTTTCTTCCTGGCGATCAAAAGTCCTTCTGTCAGCATATTGACGAAAACCACATATTTCACAAATTACATGATAACGTGTATTGTGGGTCTTCAGCTATTGCCACCCCTACCACTACCGAAAACAATTCTCGGCCTTTGCGGCACTGACAACGTTATTCGTAGGCGCCGTCTTCACGGATGACTTCAGTGATACGTACTCCGAAGTCAATAATGTGAATAAAATAGAACAAGTACGAGTGAATTACAAGAAATACAGAATGCTGCCAAAATAGAAAAGTAGGACAACTTGATTGAACCATTAACTTTGGAGCTTCAACTTGTCAAAAGCAGTTCGTTGTCAAGGAAACATACTGCCTTTCTATCAAGTGTTATTTATGTTATCTCTGTAAAGGACATAACCTGACACCCCTACTGTTTAATGTAGTCCACTTATCACCCCTATCAATAATAGACACTGCCACCAAGCATGAGCAGTTGATTACACAGAAAACTTAAATGCAAGCAGTTGAATTATATGCAGACATCCAAGAAGTTACAAAATTTGGCATACAAAAGAGGACAAAAAAATTGTAAGTTTCATTTACTTTACTTTAATACAACTGCCATTGTTACTATCACATTCATATTGACTTAAAATTTAGTTTTAGGTAAATATATTGTGGTATTTACAAGTCTCAGTAAAATTTGGGTGTGGACTCGTGGATAATTTCAAAAGAAGTGTCATTTTTCTTTATTATTTAATGTATTCACTTTATTAATATTTATTTATCTGTTTGTTTCTTTATATCTATATATAATGTGCTCTAGGGTTTTTGTCAGTTATTTAAGCATTTTTTATTTTTTATTTTACAGATTTGAACCATACACACATAAGTATCGTCACACAAGTTTGTGTAAAGAGACAATAAATCAACCGTATTAGTACAAATACAGTCTTCTCTTTTGTATTGGAGTGTCACCCGCCACAATCTCCTTAAAGACCATTAGAGTAAGGAACTTGGTGATTACAACTGTTTCTTGAAAATGTGTTCCAAAGCTTTGCTAAAAGATCTTGGAAACATAAAACAATCAAACAGAAAATGATCTGTTTGTTTTACAGTAAACCTTTATTTTTTTTATCATATTATTTATGTAATGCAACATAGACATATCAAATTTAGCTGATATAATTACAAATTCATAGAAAGACAGCTTATTAAAAATAAATGAAAATGTTTTGTTGCATGTTAAAAGTTTAGGTGGCCAAAGCAGAAAGTTTGTTTATTCCCACATAGAAAAGTGCCTCCACTTTTTAGTTTACAAGAACATGAACACATTATCTACCGATTACGAATGTTCATATAAAAAGTCTGGATTAAACTTTTTTATATCTATTACAGATGTCCGCTTTGATAAACCTGATATTCCTGACATTACAGAGGATGTCAAGTTAGTTCTGTAAATGGATGACCGTCAAAAAGGTAAATTCTTAACGAAGTGCATCTGTGGATATAGAAGTATGCATACACAAACCTATACAGGCCTGTGTACTTGTCATCTGTGCGCATGGAAATAAGATAATATAGTGCTATGAGTAACGTGTGACCAATTTCTGTACGAATGTATGATCAATTTCACATTCTTACTATGTTTAAAAGATAATATTATGAAAGGGAAGAAATATCTCCATATTATAACAATGCATGTTATACCAGTAAAAAATAAAAACTTTTGTCTATCAAAATCAAACACCTGTCATTAGTTTAAACACTTTCGAAGCTGTCTGCCATCCCACCAAGTGTTTTTTTTTTTTTTTTTTTTTTTTTTTTTTTTTTTTTTTTTTTTTTTTTTTTTTTACCACAAATATCACAAACATTTAAGAGACAAATTTCTACGCTTCTGTTTATCAAGGTCAGTATAGTCTTTTTTCGTCATTTTTATTAAAAAGTTAAAAAGCCCTACAGCTGTTTCGGCCCGGAGGACTCGTCAGGGGCGCAAACAACAAAAAACAACAAATTTTGTTGTTTGCGCCCCTGATAGGCCTCCGGGCCTAAACAGCTGTAGGGCTTTTTAAATTCTAAATTAAAATGGAGATTAAAGACTAATTTGTTTGGTTCCTTGTCTCTCTACACTAGCTCCCCATGGTCCGTCACAATGGGTAGAGCACTTTTCCATAGTGTATCAACTTTATTCTCCATTATATATATATATATGTATATATATATATTTCAAAGAAAAAATATTATTTTTGATTGAACTACACCTGTGCTTATTTATATATATCTTAGCAGCAACCCAGTAGTCTCCTGAATCAATGGAATATCACCGAAGTTGACCTTTTTACGTGTAAATAAACCATTGTTACCCAATAGATAGGTTTTTGAATACAGTTTGACATCTGCTCTTAGCTAGTATTCTCCCTTGGGTCTTCAATACTAACTAACACTATTCTAGTGTCCAACATCAGATAAAATCTAAAATATTATATTGATAATGTTTATATATACATAGATATGGGTTAATACTTAACAGAAATGGAATCGGCCTTCCAAGTAATCAAGTAATCATGTTTGATTGTTAATTGTAAAATTATCTTACAATGAACGTCTAACCATTTTCCACACAACGAAAATTGCATCTTAAAGTGAATTATATTATAACAGTATAGAAATACTTTAAAATATTTTGTATTTGAAGGAGGATAGCACACTGGAAAGTGCAGCAGACATACTGAAGAAATGGAAGAAATTCTTAAAAGGGGAACGAATGGGTGACACAAAAAAGATAATATCTATATGAATACAGATATTTCAATATTAATTCAAAACATTAGGTCTACATTCTTAGATATATTTCATATCTGGTTAATGTATCAGACAATTGACAAGAGAGCTGCATTAGAAACAAAATCAGAACCTCCTTGGTGCAGGTAATGAATTGTTAATGGGGCAACAAACAGTTTCCTACGTATCTCAATGCATAAAAATCACCCAAACTTATATGACGTACGCCTTGAAGTTTGAGCATAATGCTTCTCACCCCCGTCCCATTTTTAGATACCCTAAAACAGTCTTATATGGAACAAGATGAACATTTCAGTACCTGTGCGCCCCCCTCCCCCTCTTCCCATAATCATCCTCATTAAATGCATACCAGTAATGCTTCAGCACTGCATTCATTGTTTTATGTAACTCTTTTTAAAGTCTATTTTCTGTTTTGACTGTTCATGTGTGTGTGTGTGTGTGTGTGTGTGTGTGTGTATACACACAACTTCTGTGTAAAGAGTTTATAATCAGGGTCCAATTAGAAGTGAAACAATTAAATAATATCTTTGAATAGGAATATCACCTAGCTAATAAAAAATTTATTCCGCATCATGTCGTTTTCGTTCAATAAGGGCAAATGAAAGTTATAAAGGCTTTATCCAATGTTTGTCACACTTCCTGATTGCCGGCGAGTCGAGTTATGCTGCCATACGAAGAGGCGCGGCTGAGCACGTGTGACCTTCTAGCTCCCTTCATCTCTCTTTTTGTGTAAATGCATTCCTTAATATCAACCCACATTGCTTTTATTTCTTCCCTGTATGGGCGGGCACTCAAGCAGTAAAGAAAGAAATTCGAGGCATGATTCATGTAAAATAGTAGTGTGAAAACTGTGTAAATCATAGAAAACTTTGCTCTTTCGTAATCGGTAGTATTTCGATATACATCTATTATATCTGCTTGAGTCAAGTTGAACCCCGTTGTCATGATCCAGTATGCCACCGTGACGGAGATGAGCATTCTAGTGACGCTCTTCTGTTCTTCGACTTGCCAGTCTCTATGTAACCCGGAGTCTGAGGTTGGTATAGTGGACTCCTGTACTTGCGACTCATTCCTGACACTATCTTTCCAGACGGCACATATAAGCCAGACGTTAATGATTGGCAAGCCGACAAAAGGGATGATCCAATACATCACTAGAGCCACCCATCTGTATACCGAATAGTAATTACCTTCCTCAGCTGAAAAGCAAATTTAACATTTTGTCTATAGCTTATCCTAGAAAGAAATAAGTAAGTCTCCTTAATCAAAAGCATGAAAACGCGACCTTGGATCTTATTAATGTAGTGGCTGATGCTGTACGCTGGGTTAATGTTTCACTGTGGTTAGCTTACCTGCTTTGCTATTGTGTATTTCCAGTAGTTCTGTGGAATCGTGGAAGATATTCCAACATATCTGCTGTCCACACTCATAAAAATAAATATCAAACAAAAGGATAGGGATGATGTTTAAAATGAGGAGGAAAACCAAAATCGCAACGATGTAAATCCGAGTTTTCTTAGTGGAAAAAATCACCTCGTGTTGTGGTGTGTTAATATGTCTGAGGAGTCTCTCCACGCTCATCAACATTATCATACACGCACTCATTTCAGGCGCGAAATACACCGTGAATACAGCCAGCCCACAGAGCCCTCTACTGGCTGTCATTGCTGGATGAAGGAGCTCGTACTCGACCCAGTAGGAGAAGCCGTTGAATAAGATACAGCAGTCAGCGACAGCTAAAGCTATCATGATATTACAGGTGGCCACTCTGCGTAATTCCCGCCTCAGCAAGACACAAACACAAAGCACGTTGAAGAACAAACCCACAAAGTATATTACCGGTCGCCCTATAAGACGCATATAGTCTGCAGCCGCGACCAAGGTGTTGTTGGGGAGATAGTCGATGCGAAGCCTGGCGGTCGTGACTGCCTGGTTGAACAGAATTTCCTCGCACTTGTTAGCGTGAGAGACGTTTCCGGTTGGATACCACAAAGAATAACCCGTCACGTACTCTGATTCACCGACGACCTCCATATAAACGGGCATTTCTCCTTCTGGGTCCAGTAAAGCGGCGAGCGACCAAGACAGCATCTGGTTTATTATTATTGTCACAAGCACTCTATTCATTGTTGATGAATCATTGATTTCACAGCTGGAAACAATGGTTTGGGTTTAAAAATAAATATAATAAAATTATATTGATAGTAATGCTCGTGACAAAAATGATAAATACAACAATACTGATATAAATATATAACATATATTGATAATGGTAGTGATAAAAGTAATAATGATATGTAGAGCCGGCGCAGTGACTCATGTTCTTTTAATGATCACTGAATGATTATTAATCATTGATCTGAAATGTAGGCATTCCTGATGGTAATCAAGTGTTGAATCTTGAATACCACTAACAGTAACGTGAAATTTCATATGACAGATATACATATTCCGTAACCACCCAAGGGGCTTTCCAGATTGATGAAATACTTCGAATTTTCAACCCAGAAAGACGTCCACATGTCCGTTAAAATATTGTCCGATAGTGTGTCCATTACGAATGATATGTATTGTTTTAACACTGTTATACCCGACCAGTAATTTTTTTTTTTTTTTTTTTTTTTTTTGCAATCGTTGCTTACTTCAAATCTATTAGACATAATTGGTATTTATGAAGGTGCAATGGAAATGTCATTATTGACGAGGTCAGGCATATTACCTGATGCTGACATTGCGATTGTTGATCAGCAACGCATGGCAGGGAGAGTGGTGATTTTTTTGGGGGGACCTCTCTAAATGTCAGCCTTTTCCTTTCTTCCTGGCGATCAAAAGTCCTTCTGTCAGCATATTGACGAAAACCACATATTTCACAAATTACATGATAACGTGTATTGTGGGTCTTCAGCTATTGCCACCCCTACCACTACCGAAAACAATTCTCGGCCTATGCGGCACTGACAACGTTATTCGTAGGCGCCGTCTTCACAGATGATTTCAGTGATACGTACTCCGAAGTCAATAATGTGAATAAAATAGAACAAGTATGAGTGAAATACAAGAAATACAGATTGAACCATTAACTTTGGAGCTTCAACTTGTCAAAAGCAGTTCGTTGTCAAGGAAACATACTGCCTTTCTATCAAGTGTTATTTATGTTATCTCCTTAAAGACCATTAGAGTAAGGAACTTGGTGATTACAACTGTTTCTTGAAAAAGTATTCCAAAGCTTTGCTGAAAGATCTGGGAAACATGAACAATCCAACAGAAAATGATCTGTTTGTTTTACAGTAAACCTTTATTTTTTTATCATATTATTTATGTAATGCAACATAAACATATCAAATTTAGCTGATATAATTACAAATTCATAGAGAGACAGCTTATTCAAAATAAATGAAAATGTTTTGTTGCATGATAACATTTTAAGTGGCCAAAGCAGAAAGTTTGTTTATTCCCACATAGAAAAGTGCCTCCACTTTTTAATTTACAAGAACATGAACACAGTATCTAAAAATGTTAATATAAAAAGTCTGGACTATACTTTTTTATATCTATTACAGATGTCCGCTTTGATAAACCTGATATTCCTGACATTACAGAGGATGTCAAGTTCTGTAAATGGACGACCGTCAAAAAGGTAAATTCTTAACGAAGTGCATCTGTGGATATAGAAGTATGCATACACAAACCTATACAGGCCTGTGTACTTGTCATCTATGCGTATGGAAATAAGATAATAAAGTGCTATGAGTAACGTGTGACCAATATCTGTACAAATATATAACCAATTTCACATTCTTACTATATTTATAGGATAATATTATGAAAGTGAAGAAATACCTCCATATTATAACAATGCATGTTATACCAGAAAGAAATTATATATATATATATATATATATATATATATATATATATATATATATATATATATATATATAGTTCTAACTTCTGTGTAAAGAGTACATAATCGAGGTCCAATTAGAAGTGAAACAATTAAATACTAACTTTGAATAGGAATATGACCTAGCTAATAAAAATTTATTCCGCATAATTTCGTTTTCGTTCAATAAGAGCAAGTGAAAGTTACGAAGGCTTTATCCAATGTTTGTCACACTTCCTGATTTCCGACGAGTTGATTTAAGCTGCCATACGATGAGGCGCGGCCGAGCACGTGTGACCTTCTAGCTCCTTCTGTCTCTCTTTTTGTGTAAATGCATTCCTTAATATCAACCCACATTGCTTTTAATTCTTCCCTGTATGGGCGGGCACTCAAGCAGTAAAGAAAGAAATTCGAGGCATGATTCATGTAAAATAGTAGTATGAAAACTGTGTAAATCATAGAAAACTTTGCTCTTTCGTAATCGGTAGTATTTCGATATATATCTATTATATCTGCTTGAATCAAGTTGAACCCCGTTGTCATGATCCAGTATGCCACCGTGACGGAGATGAGCATTCTAGTGACGCTCTTCTGTTCTTCGACTAGCCAGTCTCTATGTAACCCGGAGCCTGGGGTTGGTATGGTGGACTCCAGTACTTGCGACCCCTTCTTCTTATTATCTTTCCAGATGGCATATATAAGCCTGGCGTTAATGACTGGCAAGCCGACTAAAGGGATGATCCAGTATATCACTAGAGCCACCCATCTGTATACCGAATAGTAATCCCCTTCCTCAGCTGAAAAATTGAACATTTTGTCTATAGCTTATCATTATCCTAGAAAGAAATCAGTAAGTCTCCTTATTTAAATTAAACGCGACCTTGGATCTTATTTATATATACTGGCTGATGCTGTACGCTGGGTTAATGTTTCGCTATAGTTAGCTTACCTGCATTGTGATTGTGTATTTCCAGGAGTTCTGGGGAATCGTGGAAGATATTCCAACATATCTGCCGCCCACACTCATAGAAATATATATCAAATAAAGGGATAGGAATGTTCAAAATGAGGAGGAAAACCACGATCGCGACGATGTAAATCCGAGTTTTCTTAGTTGAAAATATCACCTCGTGTTTTGGCGTGTTAATATGTCTGAGGAGTCTCTCCCCGCTCATCAATATTATCATACACGCACTCATTTCGGGCGCGAAATACACCGTGAATACAGTCAGGCCACAGAGCCCTCTACTGGCTGTCATCCCTGGGTAAAGGAGCTCGTACTCGATCCAGAAGAAGAAGCCGTTGATCAAGATACAGCAGTCAGCGACAGCCAAAGCTGTCATGATATTACAGGTGGCCACTCTGCGTAATTCCCTCCTCAACAGGACACACATACCAAGTACGTTGAAGAACAAGCCCACGAAGTATATTATCGGTCGCCCTATAACACGCATATAGTCTGCAGCCGCGACCAACGTGTTGTTGGGGAGATAGTCTATGTGAAGACGAGAGTTTGTGACCGCCTGGTTGAATAGGATTTCTCCGCACCTGTTGGCGTAAGAGCCGTTTCCTATAGGATACCACCGAGAATCCCCTATCCTGTACCCTGGGTCACCGACGTCCTCTATATAAACCGACATTTCTCCTTCTGGGTCCGGAAAAGCATTGGCGGCGAGCGACAAAGACAGCATCTTGTTTATTATTATTGTCACTAGCACTCTATCCATTGTTGATGAACCATTGGTTTCACACCTGGCTTCAAACTGAAAATAATAAGATTATTATGATGGTAATGTTCGTATATATATATATATATATATATATATATATATATATATATATATATATATATATATATTTTTTTTTTTTTTTTTTTTTTTTTTTTTTGCCTATTCATTTTTTTTTAATTTTTATGTATTCATTTATTTATAATATAATTATTTTTTTGCAATCGGTGGTTACTTCATATTTATCAAACATGAAGGTGCAATAAAATGCTATTATTGACGAGGTCAGGCGTGTCACCTAATGCTGTCAGTGCGATCAACAACGCACAGCCGGGAGGAAATAATTTTTTAGGGGGACCTCTCTAAAAGTTCAACCTTTACCTTTCTCCATCAGTCAGCATATTGATCAGTACCACATATTTTACAAAAAACATGCAAACATGCTTATTGTTAGGCCTTCAACTATTGCCCCCAACGCACCCCACCACCCCACCACCTCCAAAAAATATTTCTCGCCCAATGCAGCACTGCCAACGTTATTTCCAGGTGCCACATACCTTCACAGATGACTACGGTTATATGTGCCCTGGATACCAATGATGGAACTAAAAATAGAACTATGAGTAATACATCACGTGATATTTTACCTGTTGTAAAGTAAACAAATGAGGAATTTGTGGCCAAAGTGAAAGTACCTATTTCCCGCCTTAATTGCTTTAAGCAATTAATGATGTTCGTAATAGGTTATAACGTTGGTAATGATGGCAAAGGTATACTACATGTGCATTAATATATATATATATGAAATTGAAACCTATATCAATATCAATTTTACCTTATTTTCATCATCCGAGTTACACCCGTAAATGTTTTCATATGCGTTTACACACTTGATTTGTTTTTCTTATTCTGGACTTTAAGACTTGGCTGCACCGCACCCTTCTGCTGCAATCCCTACATTTCACCGCTAATTGTGCTACACCGTGGGGTTTGCATTCATGCTTGTCTTTACCTCTCTCCCGAATTTGACACTTTAAAGATTTTTGTCAAAGCAGTTGTGAACGAGGCCATGGTATAAAACTGTTAACTTATTGACCAACAAATGTGCAGACGCGTCTAGCCAATTCAGTGAACTAAATGAGCGATTAAATCTTATAAATTGTCGGTGCTTGTTACAAAGAAGATTATACGACAATATTATTCCTTACCTGTAATGCATCAATAATACCACAACGTCTTGAGGGTACCACAGATTTTACAAATAAAATGCTAACACGCGTATTGTAGGCCTTCAACTGTTATCCCTCACCACCACCACCACCACCACCGAGAAAAAATATTAGTGGCCTTTGCAGCACTGCGACGTTATTTCCAGATGACTTCAGTGATACGTGCTCTGAAAGTCCCTGATTAGGCCTAGATGTAAGTAAAAATAGAACAAGTGTGCGTAATACATCACGTGATGTTTTTACCTGTTGTAAAGTGAACTAACGAGAAATTTGTAGCGAAAGTGAAAGTAACAGTCCCCCCCTTGATTGCTTTACGCATTGAATGCTGTTAGTAATTGGTAATAATGTTGGGTAATGATAGCAAAGGTATACATGTGCAATGATTATATATGAAATTAAAGTCTACTAATATAAATTTTACCTTCAGTTAACTTCCATCGTCACAGTCATGACCCGTAAACTGGTTCATATGCGTTCGCACAATTGGCTTCTTTTTCTTATTTCCGGATGTTAAGACTTGGCCGCACCCCTCCCTTCTTCTGCAATCCCTGAATTTTAACGTAAAGAGATAGAAGGGTATACGAGATAATAATGTACATGCTCCTCCTTGCTTTTTTCCTGAATTTGACACTAAACAATTTTTTATCGAAGCAGTTAATTTGTAAAGGAGGCCATGGTATAAAACTGTCAACTTACTAACCAACAAATATGCAGGTACGGCTATAAAGCCAACTCCGTAAAAAACATGAGCGATTATATATTGCACATTATCGGTGATTGTTACATAGAAGATTATACAACAAGATTCTTCCTTATCTTTAAATTGTGCGCAGCTTTTGTAAGTGTAAAGGACGACTGTAGCTATAGTACAGCTGTAGACCCCACTCTCTGTTTCTTTTATAATAGGATATCCCTGATATGGGGTCATTTCCTTAATGTCAGTGATGATGTGATGAGGCAATCTCCTTCTGTTGATGTGCTTCTTGTACATGCATGCGCTTCATGAAATAGAATCCGGTACAGGTAGATAAGACATATCAACTTGTAAGTGCCTTGTCTGCGAGACCTTGAGCCAGTATATAAGACTATTTTTCGGGTACATTTTTGTATATACATGGGCTTACAAACATTTTTTTATCGTTCTATTCAGACATAGTCTATGTCGGCTGCAGGCGCGAAAAAGGAGTCTCAAATAAGACCACAAAGGCTTGTTTTCTTTTTTTCTTTTTTTTTTTCAAAATTACCACAACGCTTTTAATACAGAAGGCCTACATAATTAGTGAAATCTTTAAACTTTATCTTCGGAAGCAGACATTCATATTTTTGACCTGATTCAGACTGCATTTCCCTAAAATAATCTATTGTAGATCTACGAGACCACATGTGTGTGTACCACCCATATTTGTCACCTACACCTGGTGATGATTCTTGACACAAAGAAGCGAAAAAAAACTGTAAAAATGCTACAATGGTTCTCCAGTTTGTCTCACCTGTCGCATCCTGCTCTACGACCTCACTGACTAAGGACTGCCTGTGTCATGTTGACAACGTCCTATGAAGACTTATCGTTTCAAAACGCAGTTCCCAAGCACAAAGAGATTTCTGTTAGTGAATCAAGCTGAATATCAAGTTATTCAACGCAGAAGACGGCTTAACAGTGGAAGAAGAGGGCTCCGTATATTCACTGCCAAATATGTTGCTTAGTAGCGGTGCTGAAAGAGGAGACACTTCTAGTCACTTTGATTCCTAAGTCGGAGTTTCAACAGTCGGAGTTTGTGACATTATGATAAAATGATGTACAAATAATTTTGGTTGTCATTTCTGCAGGCATTTTATAATTTGCAGCAAATTATATTATTATCATTTATCAGATCGAATGTGATCCTCACCAACATTAAGATGATTTTATAAATATTTTTATATGCTGTGATTTTAAGGCCAGGTTTTGTGATCTCTGTCAAGATTTCAGCTAAACATGTGAAATGTTTGTTGTTTATGGAAATTAGGTTTTATTTAACTGAAAAGCTAAGGCCAAATAATTAGTGCCTGAATTTTATACCTTATGTGTTGTCAACACAGAGGGTTTCAGTGAATAAGTTCACATGAACTTCATAACTACTGGTTATCACCATGTTCTTTTTTTATGTCAGAGACTTCTCTTTAATTTATCCACGGGTAAACATTGTCAACATTGAAGTTATCATCAATTGAACGTCTGCTTCTCTAATCCTCCATGATACCCCTCGCCTTTTGAAGTAGTGACTGTAGACTATTGAGGTCTATTCCAACACAATAGATAATTGATTAATTCGAGGACTTATGGAAGAGATAGTCTAGTACGAATGAATAGGTATCATGATTTATCTCTGTACATTTTACCATCTCAAATTGGTTAATGAAAACTACTGTGTATGAAACCGTTTACGTTCCTGGTAGATCAATAGGACAGGAGCCGTACTACTCAATTATTTGGTGGGTCTGCCGCTTCCTGACAACAAACACAAATAGAACCTAATAACCCTTTGGTTAATCAACTGTAATAACTAAGTATGGAATTTATGGGTTTGCTAACAACCGGTGGCCAAAAATAAACTATAATGCTGTGATAGCTGATTCAGCTGGTTTGAAACTTCCAGCCACTAAGTTTACGCATCGCAAATAGAGGGGAGCAAATGAATGATATTTCGATGTACAAAACATATATATATTCGGCATAAATATATATGGGTTTAAGAGACATACAGTATATAAGCATTTACGTCGTAGCATCTACACATTACCATTATACCCAGTTCATTCAATAGGAGAGACAAATGTCGTGGTAATAATATATTTCAACAGCTCAGCAAAATATAGTACGTATGGACTTTCATAGGAAGTACATCTCTGCACAACTTGAATTGCCGTCATCTGGACAATCTCTGAAGTTCCTGCATGTAACAGATACATGTAACATGTATATGTACCTGTAACAGATACTATCATAGCGTTATGTGTAACTCGGCAAAAATATAACCAGTGATAATGACAGCATTCCCAATGACTAGTGAAATTTATGAACTTGACAATCCCAACCTTCCAGTCCTAATGACGTACACTTATGGAGAGTATGCAATTAGTACCAACGAGACAGATCTCAATTGCACGGAAATCTTGTACGATCTTTCAATGACAAATGTCCGTCTATGTGAAGCAACAGGAAATTGGTTGATTTGTCTTTCATTTCGCTTACGTTTGATAGGCCGCCCAGTGGTGTACGTGTTGGGATTACTAGCAAATGCATGTGCCATTTGTGTGCTCACCAGACCCTCCTTACGTAAGAACACTACATGCATATTTCTTATTGGAGTTGCAGTGGCAGACATGTTCGTATTGGTCACCGGATTCCTCTTCTGGGCCGAGTACGAACTACGTGATAGTCACGCCATGTCGGCTAATCCTTACGTATGTAAATTAACTTTATTTACAGTTTATACTGCCCCCGAAATAAGTGCACTCTTATTAGTGATAATGAGTACAGAGAGATTAATGAAAATCCGTTACCCGCTTCGTTGGTCACTATATTCCAACCCTTGTACTGCAAAGATAGCCGTTCTACTTGTCAGTGGTGTTGCTATTGCGATTAACGGTCATATTTTCTTTGCCGATATGTACTTTTCTATTTGCGGTTTTGACATTTGCTGGAATACCTATCACGACAGCGTGGATTTACTTGTCAACCATACTGACGGCGTGACATACTTCTTTGCATACGTCAACAGATGGATCTCACTTGCTTTATACTGGATTGTGCCTCTTCTTAGCCTTCCTGTTATTAACGGATTTATCATAAGGTCAATACGAAAAAGAGAGAAAAAACTAAAATACATTCGTCACTGCAATAATAAACCGAGCCATTCTCAAGGACAAATAACCAAAATGTTACTACTTGTGACTTTTGCATTTTTGATAATGGTATCAGGTTTGAATTTCATTCAAATAGGAATAGTAAACATAAGTGATATTGATGATATTGATGCACGTGCGACATACACCGTTGTCTATTCTATTTTTATTTTATTATTCTACCTGAACCATGCCTCAAATTTCTTTCTGTATTGTCTTAGCGGACATCGTTACCGCCAGGAACTAAAAGATACAATAAGAATTGTTCTAGGACGATTTGGCTGTCAACGCAAAACCGACATTCCGGCAAACACAGGGGATAATGGTCATTTGAATCACATAGCACAGGAACAATCTAGCTCCAGATTCGAAGACAGCAATGACGAAAGTTTCGATCCAGGTGTTTTTGAACCCAGGAAGATGGTCAGATACGGGAGCAGTCGGACCAGTGCTCTTGATAACGACAACACGAAGGACTGTACGGGTGTCATACAAAGTTTAAGTATGTCACAGGTTACCACTGACTGCTCCCCAGCTGATGACGCTGAAACATTAGAAAACGTGTCATCCACACACATGTAATATAACGCTCATAATGCTACGGGCCTGATGCCTAACATGGATTTTTAACATGAGCATACTGTGCTCAATATTCTTGTGTAATCCCATTTTAAACATGACATTGTAGTTTGTTAAACCATGATGTTTCCTCACA